TGGCCAAAATGAACTTGAGAAGCATTACTGTTTTGTCTGTACTTCTCTCTGTAGGTGGTGTCAGTGCATCATATTTAAGGTGTTATCAGCAGAATAATCAGCGTGGTGGTCATTGGGAATGTGGTTTAGCCCTGGTTTACTTGAATTACAACATTTGATTTAGAAAAATTAATACCCAGGTTTTGTGGTAAATAGATGCCTTAATTAGTGTCTCATAATGTATTGTGGTATTTTAAGATGATTTAAGGTACAAAAACAAAGCCACCCCTCAGTTTGCACATAAACTGAAAAATGATGCTCTCTTCTAAAACACAGATTCAGAAATCCAATTTTTGCTATTCAGAACACCCATCCTAATTTAATTTAATCATTAATGAGCTGAAGGTCTAATTTCATCAAATATTAGCTGGAAAATTCATTTTATTTTAAGCAGGAAACATGAGAGATTCTATTTCCTTTTGGGAAGGACTTAAACTGTTTTGTACATTTGTGTGCTGCAAACAATAGCTTACTTTTGAGGGGAGTTTTTTCATGACCCCACCAAGTAGAGTTATGAATTTCTAATGTGTATTTGCATATGGGATATGCAGCCCAGGAGGGACTTCCTACACTGTGATACCTTGAACGCAGCACTTTATGGTAACTGATTGCATGAAATGAAACAAATATCTGTTCACTAGACAGATAATCTAGATAAACATCCAGAGTGAAAGAAACACATTAGAAAGACAAGCACACTGTTAGACTGGTGTTTGTATTTCTCTACTTTTGCTGTTGTCATACAAATGGAACCATAAATACACTCAAACTAACAGACAAGGAGACTGTCATGTTAATGAATGAAGCTTAACAGTTCTGGGAACCTGCTAAGTTGTGTAGACAGGAAGCAGGCACATGGTTGCACTTTGTAGAGGTGTCATTTAGTTAGACTGTTAAGGAAGAAGGTGCATTGGTTGTTGTAAATTCACTTTGGTCACACCCCAATCAATATTTGTGCACATGAACAAGTGTCTCCGAAGGTGAGAAAACCGGACAGGTCAGAGGATTAACCTCAGTTTGTAGATGTTAGGTAGGATGATTATTTTGTGTTTGAGCTTCTAAACAAAGTAATCCCTTAAGGCTACTTTGCATTTTAAAGATAGCTGATTCATTTGTACTTTAATGATACAGTAAGTGGCTGATCAAATCCCAACCAGCATAGGTCTGGGGTCCTGTTCTGCAACTGTCAATGTTATCATGGAAAGACAATCTTGTGTAGTTGTGTTAATGCTATATATGAATTGCTCAGAGACAAAACAACTTCAATCCATGTTGTTAGAGTCACGCTGACATTCGGCTTTTGGCTGAACTATTACCACTTCAATTTATGTAACTTTTATGTGCTCGTGTTTAAAAATCGTACTTTTATTTTGAAAAAGATCTGATATTTGTTGCACTTGTTATGTGGTTAGGGTGGTGGGTTCTGCAAAGAGATGATGATTTATGTCCTGAATGTGGCTTTCTTTGAGAAATGCAGTCAGAAAAGTGAGTGTATCCTTTTTCAGTGTCTTGCTTAGTCAGACTGCTGGTTTCCACAGCAGGAGGGTGAAGCATAGGAAGGAGGAGTGGTGTAATGTCTCGAGAAGCTGACAGGTGTGTAAGCATGCACAGACAGGGCAGGTTTAGAAGTACACATGTGGAGATGAAGATGGTAAGGAAGGAAGAGGAGAGTAGACCGATGGATGATATGAAGGAAACCACAGGAAAACAGGAACGTGGACAAGACAGGGTTGTGTCCATCTCCCTGAAGGAGATGAAGAGCTACTACAGATACAGCCAGTACTGTCAGCACCTACGTGAGTTCCACGGGGATGTGCATGTGGTTGTGCTTGTTGTGGTTGCTTGTCACCTGATGATCACATTTGCATTTTAGGTGCATGGATGATGATCACACCCTATTTGCCTTTGTTTCAGCTTTCTTTCTGAGACAATGCTCAAATTCATAGCTAAATTAAATAATATCTAATATTTGCTAACACCAAATGTTCAGAATAATACAGTTATCACTTTACAGTTGTTTCCTTTTACAGAACGTCTCTGCTGTCGTGAGTACTGTTGCTCCTGTTCAAACTTGAATCTCAAAGTCATCCTAGTCAAAGCATAAATAAAATCAAATTTCAGTAAATATTTGGGTTAATTAACCTTGGAATTCTTGAACTTGCAAAGTCAGTGGCATTACTACAGTAAAGATAATGTTACTATGGCTTCTCTTCTATGTCCTATATCTACCTCATAGCATCTCCCCTTCTGGAAAAGTAGTGCTAAGATTAAAAAGATGCCTTGGATTAAACATTGTGCTTCATAATATTACACAATATCAGCTATCACAGTGTCAAGTGCGTAATGTATCCATGGTTGTCAAGCAAATCTTTGCACCCTGTGTCCACAGAGGATGTCACATTCCACCAGGAAACATACTGACTTTATTTCTGCTTCTGATAGATGTTTGCACCAAAATGTCTTCTCCTTTGGCCCATCACAGGAGACCAAAGGGCATGTGAACAAAGAGTAATTCTACTACATCCTTATTTACTCAAGGTGGTTAAATAAATGTTAGCATAATTACCTGACAGACTGCATGTGTGTGTGACAGGATAGGTGTGCGTATATATCTGTCATAACAATAAACTGCTATGTACTCTATTTGTGCACCACCGATCACACAGACTCCTGTTTATAGGAAATGTGCAGTGTGTGCATGATGATTTTAAAATCTTCATGCCTGTCAGTGGCTGTTCTGATCTATTTTAGTTCATTTCCTGTGGGCTTTGCTCTGTGTGTTTTGAGATGATGTGTGTATTTTTAGTAAGAGCTATGTCACCAAAGCAGGTGCAACATTTTGCTCTTGATCTTATTTTCCTCCCTATAGTCCTGAGATAAACTGATGTGAGACATCAGTTTAAGGTTGAGGTCATTCATCCATTTTAGGAATAATTTTGTAGCATCTTATTATTTTATGATAGTCAGCTGTCTTCTATGTAACTTCCTCTGGTGTTTTTCTAACTGCTGATCCATTGTGACTGATAGTCTTCCTCCTTCGGGGCAAAACTTCCTCTTTCATAGGACATCTCATGATTTTCCATCATGTTTACTGTACTTCCCCTTACATCCATCTCCCTCCCTCTGTTGCACTCAGTTTTTTTTTATTTGACTTGCTGACATCTCTTCAGTTAAAATCCCTGGTCATCATTTAACCCTTCCACACACACTCCTCTGCAAATTCATCTTGTCATCCTGACACTTGTATCAAGGGAAAAAACATTTTCCTAATTAAAAACTAGAATTACCACTTCATGGTTGTATGCCTCCATCATCCAGTCAAATTCATGGGTATGGGACAGAAGTGAGATTGACCTCTGACCCCCAAAATCTAATCAGTTCATGTTTGAGTCCAAGTGGACACTTGTGATAAAAGAAATTCCCTCAAGGCGTCCCTGACATATCACATTCATAAGAATGGGCTGTACAGACAGACAACCCAAAAACATTAATGCTACCAGCTGCATTTATCGCTGGGACAGAAGCATAAAAGTGTCAAGATTGGCTCTGAAACTGGTTCTGTGCTTTAGCTCACGACATTCCTAAAGGAGCAGGTTGACTTAGAAGTCACAAAGTATCTAGTTGCCAAATATGAAGATTTTATTTGTTTATTTAAGACAACACACAGCATGGTGAAGCAGTGGTTAGTGCTGTTGCCTCAAAGTAAGAAGGGTCCACGTTCGGGTCTGGGCCGACCCGTGGCCTTTCTGTGTGGAGTTTGCATGTTCTCCCTGTGCCTCTGGGTACTCCAGCCTCCT